TCACACTTTTACAATGAGTTCATATATAGTTTCACCAACTAGAATATAAACATTATCACTAGGGATCTGCATTACTTATAATACTGTAACTGACTCTACTCATTCCCTTCCATTTACATCCAAAATTTGATACTAATTTACTTTCTATCTCTTCTCACTTATAAATTATCCACCCTATTAAAAGGCATAGTTGTGACAATTCTAAGTTTCAGCTGCCCACTATGTTCCCATCCATTCCATCTCTTAAAGGTGTTCAAAGTGTTAACCGGTTGTATTTCATCCTAGAGACAGCTGGGTTTCAGGGAGAGGAAAAATGTTTCATTATCTTACTCTATTGCCCAAGACAAATGTGCTATTGTATTGCATGTAAAATGTCATCTTTGAAGTATATTAAGGATATGCTGTGAGGTAAGCCATCTGGAAAATACAGTATAGAATTGGAAATAATTATAAGTTAGTTTATTGCACTTTTTTTCCAGTTAAGCCTACCATGATAGCTGCTAAAACAATATAATGAAAAGGGTAGATGCTCTGAAACCACACAGGTTAAATGCTACCTCCAACTATTATTAGTTAGTATACAAGTTATTTAGCTTCTCTGATACTTTTGTCTTGTCTGTAAAATTGAGATACTACTGCATGTTGCATAGGGGTTTTATGAGGATTAAATGAAACAATATTTGTAAAGCACTTGGAACAGAGTAGACAGTAAGTATAACGTCTCCTCTCTTCTTTTAAATATAGAGGATATTTAATATTCTTTACATATAGAATATTAGGTAATCCAATAATATTTGTACACCATGTTGATGAGCACGTTGGTTGAGCTTCCATGTAATTCTCTTTCAATTTCAGGGGAGGAAGGGCTTTGGAAAATCAAGTTTTAAGTTTCCTCAGGAATCCTCAGGCTGGAGTGTATTAGGACCACCCAGACAATCTTAGTAGGAAAGCGCTGTCCGTGGTGCTAGTAATCGCGCATACCCCTGGCAAAACTTCGCCTGCCCAAAGTTCTTTGCCAGTGAACTTGCTTAGCGAAGCTCACATATCTGTCTCATGGTAAAGTCTCAGTCATTCTACCCACTGGCTTTTCACCTGTCTTGCCAATCTATGTCCCCTTCAACCAAACAACAACAACAAAAAAAGTATCTTCCATCTCCTTATCACCCCAAAATAGTTTTTATTTTTCAGACACTGACAATGCCTACCACTTAAGAAAGTGGATCAAAAATTGGCTCAAGTGCCCTACCCGTGGTCGGCAAACTGCGGCTCGCGAGCCACATGTGGCTCTTTGGCCCCTTGAGTGTGGCTCTTCCTAAGCCTTAGGAGTACCCTAATTAAGTTAATAACAAAGTACCTACCTATATAGTTTAAGTTTTAAAAATTTGGCTCTCAAAAGAAATTTCAATCGTTGTACTGTTGATATTTGGCTCTGTTGACTAATGAGTTTGCAGACCACTGCGCCTAACCGGTTTGGCTCAGTGGATAGAGCGTCGGCCTGCGGACTCAAGGGGCCCAGGTTCGATTCTGGTCAAGGGCATGTACCTTGGTTGCAGGTTCAATCCCCAGCTCTGGTCAGGGCCCGTGCAGGAGGCAACCAATTGGTGTGTCTCCCTCACATCAATGTTTCTCTCTCCCCCCCCCCCACCTTCCACTCTCTCTAAAAATCAATTGAGGTATGCCAGTTGGTTCCATACCTCAATGTGGGGTTGGGGGGACAAGAAGAGATAAACGAAAGAACATATATTTATATGCATAGCCCATGGACACAGGCAATAGTGTGGAGGAAGGAGGTGCTAGGAGGAGTGGGGGGGGGGAGGAGAGGAGATGGAAGATACCTGTAATACCATCAACAATAAAATATGTATTAAAAAATGATGAGGGGAAAAACAATGGAAAAATATCATTGGGTGAGGATTAAAAAACAAGAAAAAATTGGCTCAGGCTATCTTTTCCTAACCTTTTTGTTAAGTTTCAAAGAAATCCAAGGTGAGAAGACAGGAAACAGTTAATTTCCAATGCATTATTTAAAAAAACTCTCTTCAGCTGCACCTCGACCTTGAGTTAAGTTCCCTTCTTCCTTATTCCCCAAATTCCCTGTAAAAACAAGTCTCAGTAAAGTTATCATATTAAATTGAAACTCTCTATTTATTAGTTCTGAGTGCCATTGGGGGAGTTAATTAAAAGCTAGGACCTAGATCTTATTCAACCGTGAATTCCTGGACATGCTGAACTAAGTTGTTTTTTTATATATATAAATATATTTTATTGATTTTTTACAGAGAGGAAGGAAGAGGGATAGAGTTAGAAACATCGAAGAGAGAGAAACATCAATCAGCTGCCCTATGCACACCTCCTACTGGGGATGTGCCCGCAACCAAGGTACATGCCCTTGACCGGAATTGAACCTGGGACCTTTCAGTCTGCAGGCTGATGCTCTATCCACTGAGCCAAACCGGTTAGGGCTGAACTAAATTTTGTTGAACTAAATTTAATCACTGGATCCATTAGAGGGAAGGTCCCAACAACACGTCTTTATTTTTATTTCATTTAAGATGTCTTAATGTTGACATTATTGCAGGAGTCCCCATTGCCCCCGCCACTGCTTTGCCCACTTCCACCCTCCTCTGCCTCCCCTAACAACACGCCTTTAAAAGGCAACCTGCCACCTGGCCAGTGTGGTTCAGTGGTTGAGCACTGACCTCCTATGAACCAGGAGATCACAGGTTCAATTCTCAGGCAGGGCAAATGCTGGGGTTTCAGGCTCGATTTCCAGTAAGGGGGCGTGCAGGAGACAGCCAATCAATGATTCTCATCATTGATGTTTCTATCTCCCTTCCTCCCTGAAATCAATAAAAAAAATGTATTTTAAAAATAAAATAAATAAATAAATAACAACCTGCCTTGCAACATTTGGCTGTGCACTAAATTTTAGACTAACCAGGCTGTTCTGATAAAGATATTCTGGACTGAATTCATTTGCCACCACATCCACCTATATCAGTCTAGTGACTCAGCCCCTGAGAGTGACTAGTAAAGAACTAATGTCATTCCTTTCAAAGACTCTGCTTCCCACTGTCCATTTTTCCTCCTTTTCCTCCAATTCTACCAACACACCTGTAATTCCCAATACACTGCATAGATACTGGCCCCAAAGTCTAAGCAAAACAACTCACTGGGTTGTTTCACCCAAAGGTAGACTTCTATTGCTTTGGCCAGATGAAGGAATAGAGCCATCATCAACAAACAAAAGGACAATTTCTTTTTCCAGATAAGAGTAGAGGCTCAAATAAGATTAAAAGGCAGAGGAACCAAAAAATCTGAAACCTAAAAAATGTGGGTAGGGTGAGAGAGAAATAATTATTAATACTGCTTCTTTCTCTTCTCCATCTGGGTGAACTTCCACTCTCTTGAAAATCAGTATCTCTTCAGCCCTCACTACCACTTCCATAGGCCTTCCTTTCTTTAAAGAGCTCTTCCTCATTCTATAGTGGTATGAGGGGAGGGGAGTCCAAGCTAAGGCATGCCAGAAGAAACATATGGAGTCTCATTTGCAAGCAAGCAAACAATTGCCCTCCCTTTAAGAGTCTTCCTCCTTGGCATTCTGAACCAAAAATGATGTAGTAAATAAAAAACGATTCAGTGTTAGGAGAGACCTACTTTCATGTAGTTTTTCACCAAAGTTTTTAGGCAACAAACACACAACTTGTGGCTCTCTTCCTATTTCAATCAAGCATCAGCTATAATTTTTTAAATCTTTAAAGCAATGCACGAATGCAGTGGTTCTCAACCTTCTGGCCCTTTAAATACAGTTCCTCATGTTGTGACCCAACCATAAAATTATTTTTGTTGCTACTTCATAACTGTAATGTTGCTACTGTTATGAATTGTAATGTAAATATCTGATATGCAGGATGGTCTTAGGCGACCCCTGTGAAAGGGTCGTTCGACTGCCAAAGGGGTCGCGACCCACAGGTTGAGAACCGCTGCATTAATGCAAACTCACCTAGGAAGATTAAGAAGAAAAGCACTTGGCCTTTAAATCTTCAGAAGAGGGTTTAATGACAGGTTCAACCTGTTTAATGGCAGAGCCAGCACCACACCCCTGTTTTATTGTGTTTCATTATCATTGCATAAATTCCCTTTATTACTCACGACAAGTAAAAATGAAATACTTGCTGAGGTGGGTTTTAATAAGTAAGAGTAAAATCAAAAATAAACTGTTCAAATATCATGAAAGTGTGATCTCAGATTCTTAAAATATACATATTAATATTTTTAGGTGCCTGACATGTTGTCACTCTCAATCTAAAGGTCATTTTTTACAAGGAGTGTAACCATAACTCAAAGATGAAAATAATAAGTAGCACATTCAAAACAGGATTCTCGGGATTTTTCTCTTACCAGGTATACTGATTTTTTTTTTGACTCATTCAAATAGGAAGACACACCCAAAAGAAAATTGCTAAGGTTGGTGCAAGATGTGAAGCTAGTGAAGTTCAAGTACTGCCTGGGGATGAATATAACCTGCATGACCGGTGCAGAGCTGTCACTTTCAGACATCTTAAGACCGAGTTATTTTAAATGTCTTTCTGTCATTGATTCTACGGGGAGCGACTAACGTCTCCAGCGTGAAGCCAGCTGAAGGAATAGAAAGACGCTGCTCCGCCTGCTGGAGGGAGGAGCTGAGTACATTGATTCTATGTTTCCAAAACCTTGACCAAGACTTTCCCGGACTCTGGGTGAGTAAGGCCGGGGCCTCCGAGCTCCGGCGTCTGGCGCATGCGTCCTAGCACCCTCTGGGCTCGCTCCACTCCCCTATCCCCGCCCC